AAATCCTATTTGTGAAATAGACTAGCTGTTAAGCAATTTTAGTTCTCTCCACTACAGTTCTTGTTCTGATAGAAGAAGGATAATGGTGTTGCTAGATGGGAAATTGGCAGTGCTTCTGAACTGCTTGGTGACTCTCTTTTCTAAGATGGATTGTGTACTTGATTGAGTTGTCATCTAATCTAGTCAGTGTCTGCAGGTTATCCTTCCTTTCATAGCAACTCACTTTCTCTGGCATTTCTGTATATGGGGCACCATGCCAAGTACTGGAAGTAAAGGTGTTTAGACACATTCTCTGCCCTCAAGGGTCTCTGAGTGTCTAGTGGATGAGTTAGACACACAGTCATGGGAGGTATTCCACGAGGTGTGTAATCACACGCATAAAGATCTGTGGGAACAAAGGCAAGGCAGACCTGGTGGCAGAATGGAGCAGTAGATGAGGAAGACTTTGGGTACAATATGTCTTGACACAAGGTTTTTTCATGTTTAAAGCATGGACAATTTTAGACATAGAGAAGGGTGTGACCACGGCAGAGGCATGTGTAGTTGACAATGGGACAGGTTAACACTGCACTTCTTAGCTCTTTTCCTTTGGTGCAGGCCACGTGACTAGCTCAAGCTTTCTATTAAGTCATATAGTCAATTTCTTGGGGTATCCTACTAGGCTGCTTTACTGCTAATCCTATACTTTTCATAAACTGAGAAGACTGGAAAAAAGCTAAGGGACAGTAGTGGCACAGGAAGTATAGGTTAGGTGTGCACTTCCGCTGCACTCCGGCAGGTGTACCCTGCTGGGACCCAGGGAAAAGTTTCCTATCCTTGGCCAGTGACACCTCCTTATATTCCACAGGTCATTTTTCTTAGGCTAGACTTTTCAGATTAGAAAATCTTACTTTATAATGTTAGTATTTGGAAAATAAAATTCTTTGGGTTCACCTCTGCTCCTACCTCCCGTTCTTTGAATCCAAATTAGGAACCATCTATTGCCACTATGGAGTTTCCTTTTTTTGCTTCACTGCTTCTTTCTGGGCTTGTTTCCCATTCTACTCCCCCATCGCTCACATTTCTCTGTCGTGTACTCTCTAGCAATCAGGACACTCATTGGGCCTCTGGATGTTCTGCTTAGGTGGCTCCTGCCCATCTGCCCTCAGGGTCCCAGAGTGGAATGTTTGGTATTGTTGAAATTCTTCTGTCTTCTAAGACCCAGCAGCTCATCTGAGGGGTGCTATTTTTCATGGAGATTTCCTCACTAGAGGGAATTAATCTCTGACTACTCTGGACTCCCCTTTGTTTATTAGGACCTTTACCTTACAGAGTTGCTTTCAATAGGCATTTGTGATCAGACCCAAAGATTCTTAGGGCAAAAGCTGGTCTGAATTACCTTATCAGTCCTTAGAATACTTAGGAGTGAACATATGGGTCACCCAGATTTTTTAAATGAGTCATGAAATGGAAATTGTTTTAATTGAAAACTTAAAAAATAATGGAAAGCTTTGCCCAGTTTCCCATTTTGCTTTTTCAAAAGGCTGTCTGTAAAGAACATATTCTTTACTATTATATCTCCAACACCTGTCTGTTTATTTAGCACCAACTCCAAGTCTCCTTTACTTACTGATTATTTTCTTCCAGATAGTGATAAAGCTGTTTAGTTAGAATACAGCAAGTGGCAGTTCCTTTGGAAAGCTATGAATTAAAAGTTGGTAAACAGAAGATGAATGTCAGAGGGAATGAGTCTTTCTTCTGCAATCAGGGAGGATGGAAAGCAGACAATGTAGAAATGAAAAGGGTACTGCCTAAGAGCTTACAGATGTGTGCCAAAGAGAACAGTGATGTTTAACTTGGGGGAAGTGCAGCTGACGCAAGTAAAGAGACACAGTCTTAAGTACAAATATTGAAGAAGTCAATGAAATAAACTGAGGAAGTTTTGCTATTTAATGACTTGGTTGCAGGGGTGGATAGAGAGGGGGGTTAATGGATCAGAAAACAGTCTGACATTTGAACAATATGACAGCCTCAAAAGCCAGAGTTATTATGGGGTGTGTTAGAAAAGAAATCATTCACAATTGAAGATGAAAAACAGGAGCTTGGAAAAGACATAATTTTGGTGCCTCATTCTGTCATGACTTTCTCACTGTTTAACATCTTTGGGTTCTAAAATCCTTATTTAGTAATATTGACTAGCCTTTTAGGGGTTTTTTGGGACCAAATCCAAGGTATTCTCTGTTCTCTTCCCAAGTCACAAATCAATTAATGGGTTATTTTTTTTAGTGAAAGATTAAAAACTCTAAGAAATAGACCTGAGTAAGAAGAAGTTTTCCCAAACTTAAATTTCCTTCTCACAGGGCATGGTGTCCTAAGTAGGTCTTACTGGCACTAGTGTCTTGGCTCTCTGCTGATGAGATTTCTGTGCTTGAAGCTGTTTCAAAGAGCAGAACTAAAGGCCTACTCTATCTCAGGATGGTTGAGAGTGGTTTTCCACAGCAAATCTCTATAGACATATGCTGGTTGTTACTTCTCTTTTGTGAGGTGACCTGATTTCCTTTTCTATATCTGGGATGAGAAGTGGTGATTAAATCCAATTATGAATTTTCTTTATAGCTTTGGGGTATCAAAAGTGGGCTCTTTTCCCCTCGTGGAGTCATTACAAAGTAGCAAGAATGTATAAATTGTCCTGACAGGACATGATGTAAAGGCCGGAACATCTCATTCTTTTGTTCCTTCTCCTGTCATAATTTGCATAAATTGTCTTTGGGAAAAAAATGGACTAAACTTCACTGTGACTACTTCCTCAAGACACTAGATGAAATCATTTTGTTCAAGATGAAAAAGGCATTGTAATGTGTAAAGTACAGATAGTCCCCACTTTCTTCACAGGATTGTCCAAGAGTCTTTTCCCTAACCCGTCTACTAAATGTGGTTCCTTCTTACATGAAGATGATAACTTTACCCCAGCATCAGCAGGACTGATCACTTTTGAGTGATTTTTTTCCAATAGTCACAAAGGGAAAGCTATTACTTGTGTCTGAACACAAAATTTGTGTTGCACTGGGGATAGCCACATTCTTGTTGAAGGATGAGCTAAGATATTATTTGGAGTTATTTTTCTTTTGAAGCATAGGCTACTTTTAAGATCACTGGATATAGTTTTTTCGATGAGTGCTGATATTTCGGTGTAAGATTTAAACAGTAAGATGTGCTGCCACTGAAGTTTTGTGCAGAATCAAAAGGTCTATGTGAAAGGCAGAGCTGGGGGAGGTGTTGGATACACTTTCAGGTTGGATTTACTCTAAAGGAAAATATTTCGATGTTGTTAATATGTGTACTGTTTATCAGAAGAGATATTACTTCTTGAATCCCTTCCAAATATGTATTTGAGTAACAATTAAGTACTTGATAAGTGAAGTAGTTGGACACATGTTATGTATTAACTATCTCAATGGCCCACATCACTTGCCAAGCAATAAATTTGTGGGAAAATAAATGGGTGGATACATTAGATTGAGTAGTCATGAATACTTAAATTGAGATTTAAGTAACAAGAAGCTGTGAGCCATTTAGAGAGGTAGGAAGACATTTCCAGGTAAGGTTAGCATAAAGGCATCAAAGTAGGAATGAGATTGGTCTATGAGAGGACCAAAAAGAAGGCTAGTGATGCTGGAGTGGAAGAGTCTGAGGCAGAGTGGTAAGAATATGCAAGGGAGCAGCATGCAGGTCTTTACTTTGTAAATCAGGAGGAGGAATTTACTTGGTAAGATGAGAGGCAGTTAGTGTATTTTAAGGGGGAAAGCACCTTGGCTGGGGGTAAAATAGGGATTAGAGGAAAGCAGGAGAAGATGGGGTAGGAATTAAGGATTAGACATTAAGCAGGCTGGGCAGCTGATCACATCTAAGGTGTAGTAAGGGGATGGCGAAAAGTGTATGAATTCAGGAGCAGTTGAAGGAAAGAGGTTGTAGTGAAAGAAGCCAGGTGGGCAAACAGGTGGGTTAGCTGTAGTTCTAAGGGGTCACTTCTATAGGAACTGTTATTTACATTCAGGTTATAAGGACCCTAATCTCTTAAAAAAAAAAAAAAAAAACCTCAAGGTCTTCATAAGTCACCAAGGACATGGCTTACAATTGGCTTCTGATCTCTTGAGGAATTTCTATAATCAGGAAGCTGCATGTTTTCACCCCTTTACTTTCTTTCTGGACATGTTTCCTGGACACAGGGGTGTCCTAGGAGGAACTCTGAATGGTTAAATGCCCTGAGGAAAAGCTGAGATACAGCATACAGTACCTGGCATTCTGAGAGTTCAAAGGGGGAAGGACAGAAAGGCTTAGTGTTCATTGTGCTTAGAGCCAAGAGTTTTACACTCCTAATCTTTCACTTCATTCTCTCAATAACCTTGTGAGGTTACATCTTTTTCATCTCAGTTTTACAAAGGAAAGAGTGGAGGCTCAGAATGGTTCTTAATTTTGTCCTAAGTTACACGGGCTCGTAAGTGGTGAAGCCAGGACTGGAATCAGAGTCTGGTTCTCTGCACCCCCCATTCTGTTCCTGTTATTCCGTTTTCCTTCTCTTCATTATTACCACTCGGTTCCCACCAAAGAACCCATGGTGGGGACAGCATGGCTTTTCTTTCTGTTCTACACTATATTCGCCTCCTCTATCCCACAGATGCCCAGTAAGGTGCCCATCAAACACGTTGTCTGGAAGCAGCACTCCTTTCTTGCTGCCTTGCCAGGCAGGGCGGGAGCTAGGTGATGGGAAGCTGCTCTCCTGCCTGTGACTTGCCCCGAAGGCATTTTCCATTTACAGGCCCTGCCGTTCCCCATCCCTCACCCCTGGCCCCTCAGCTGCAGTTCAGGCCCCTGGGGGAGCGTCCCTCGCCGCGGGGCTGACAGCGTTCGGGGGCACCGGGTCTGGTTCTCTGCGCTCTGGCCCATCTGTGCGCCGAGCCTCGTTCCCGGGCGCCCGGAGCCCGGCGGGCATTGACGTCAAGCGGCGGCGGAGCGCAGCCTACAGACGGTTGACCCGGGCCCTCCTCCACAGCCCCTTCCTTCCTCGCCCCCTCCCTCTTCCCTGCACCGGGACTCGGGCTCACTATAAAAGGCGGGAGCACGGGGTACCCCAGCGGAAGGCGTTTCAGCACCATGGAGAGCTCCCGCCTGCGGCTGCTGCCCCTACTGGGCGCCGCCCTGCTGCTGCTGCTACCTCTGCTGGGCGCCCTTGCCCAGGAGGACGCCGAGCTCCGTCCTCGAGCCCTGGACGTCTACTCGGCGGTGGAGGACGCCTCCCACGAGAAGGAGCTGGTCAGTATTCCCCCCTCCCCGGCCCCGGACACCCTGGGGCTGCCGCGCGGTCCCTTCCTTTGCCGGCATTCCTCCTCCTCGGGCCCTCAACCCCATTCCCGAGGCCCGGGCATCCTCTGGCACCCCGAGATCGTCTGGAGCCCTCGGGATCCAGGCAGTCTGTCGAGCAAGTCCCTCGTCTCAGTCCCTCGGAGCAACGCGAGCCTCGGCAGCTCTGGGACCTGAACTCAGGGCAGGTCCCCGAGAGACCTGGAGCGCTAAGCTGCAATCCCACCAATGTCCCTTTTGTCTGCGGAGTCCCGCCGTGCGTCCCGGGCTTCTTGTAACTGGGGCTGAAAGTGAGAACCTGGGCTGGGCTCCCAGCCAAGGCGGCAACTTCGGGCTCCCCGCGGTGTGTTGCAGATTGAAGCGCTGCAGGAAGTCTTGAAGAAGCTTAAGAGTAAACGTATTCCGATCTATGAGAAGAAGTATGGCCAGGTGCCCATGGTAAGGCTTTGGGGTCACTCCCTTCCCATGTTTCCCCAAGAGAAACATACACCGCCTTGAATATTATAAACGTCCTTACCCTGGGATGTGGCTGAGTAACTCGGGTATTGGGTTTGCATTCTTCTGTGGGGTGCTCTTTTCTTTCAACTTGGTACCTAAAGGGCAAAGGTAGACTAGAGGATTGAGCAGCTGTGCCAGGAACCATTCTGTGAGCTGTGTGGGAAGGTGTATTTGCTGAAGATGAACTTTTTGCTTCACCTTGAATCTACTGAGTTCTTGCCTCCCTAATTTCTTCCTGAACATAACCAGGCTTTTAAAAAAATCTAAGTTCTGGGGTCAAAAATTCAGAATTGGTGTCCTTCCTTGGATAGCTCCGGGTAAAATACAACACACACACACACACCACACACACACACACACACACACACACACACACACACACCTCCTTTCTTGGAATGAAGAAGTGGGAAAGTAGGGGAGGAAGGTTGTGAGAAAGCATAGCTGTATTGTCTATTTCTTAGGGGAAAAAAAGGACTAGTTAATCCCTCACACATCCTCACCCGGGATAAGTAAGAAAAGGAGCCAGGAAATACCTCTCCTAAGGGATGGAAGAAAGTGGGAAGGGATGGATCATTTAAGTTTCTTTCTTTTTTAAAAAATGTCTTCTCACTGAAATTATAAGCATAAGGTTCCCTGTGTTTCAGGTCCAGTCCGATCTGTGGGGAAGGGGTGCAATCACTTCTCCCAAGAGACAGAACCCAATGACCACCCTGTGTGTCCTTTGCAGTGCGACGCTGGAGAGCAGTGCGCAGTGCGAAAGGGAGCGAGGATCGGGAAGCTGTGCGACTGTCCACGCGGAACCTCCTGCAATTCCTTCCTCTTGAAGTGCTTATGAAGGGGCGGTCATTCTCCTCCATATTGCCCTTTCCCCTCCAGTCCCCCAGAGGACCACACCTTTATCCCTGGAGTTTGGCTTTAGCGACAAATAAAGATTGCATTTCCCTCTGAGGGTGAAGAGGCTCTTATCCTGCTGTCCCCAAATAAAAGAACACATTAGATGTTACTGTGTGAAGGATACTGCCTTGTATGGTGTTGGTTGGTATGTGTGCAAATATTCTTTTCTCATTTTATTTGTCCCACAAACTCTTCTGTACCTTTGTGTAAAGAAGAGGAACTTTGCTTTGAAAATCGTATTTTTGTATGTGGCATGGCAGAATGGAAATTAGATCTAGTTAATCTTGGTAGATGACATCACAGCCTGGAAAATAAATCACCCTAAGCACCCAGATTGAAGCATGTACAAATTACACATAATAAAGTGTTTTTAATTATTGCTTAGAGTGCATTGTTGTTTCTACATAAGTAATTTAAGTAGGAATAATAATGAGATTAATTATGCTGTTGTTTTCAAAGAGAAGTATTTAAAAATAGCTGTCTGTTGGGAGAGCAGCACCTTAGCTCCAAGGAGTTTGGAACATTAATTAGGAGTCTGCCACACCAACTCTGGTATACTCTATTTTTCTTTGCAGTGATGTGGGCTGTGTGTGGGTGTGTGCATGGAGGAGGGAGGGAGAGAGAGATGGGATGGAGATGACTGGACTTGAGGTGATACAATTTTGTTTATTCAAACATTTAGCTAGATTCCTTAATTTTAACAGTAAACCTTGTCAATGTAAAGTAACAACTCTGCTGTAAAGGAAATAAATAGTTTATTTTGAGCCAAATATGCGTGACCATGGCCAGGGAACCATGGATTCAAATGATCTTGAATCACACTCTCTGAAGTGGAAGAGGTTCTGTGAACTTTTATAGCCACAGAACAAAGAAAGTCATAAATCACCGCATTTAGCAAATAGATGGTGGGGATGTTTGGTAGGTACGCTACAGCCAAGCAGAGAAATCTTTGCTATAGGTTTCAGATGCTATCTTATAACACTCTTAGCTTTAGGGTCAGGAGAGGATAGAGGTCTGCTAAGCATAACAATACATTCCCAGAGCTTTCCTGCTAGTCAAGAGAATGTTAGGTCAGAAAGAAAGGCTGAAAGTAAGTGGCTACACCAATTACGGCTGATGCTATCAGTCCATGGACAGCACATAGAGTTAGCACGATCCTAAACATAAAGCACTTGACAAAGATTATTGAATTAGAAAAAAAAATCAAATGCCTATTTTTCTAAAGTGCCTAAGACAGCTCAATAATTTTGGCTTTGGATATGCAGTGGTTCATCTCTTCACAATCACTACATTCTACTCAGCAGAGGTCAGTCTGCAAGATCTTTGATGTGGATATGGCTGCTTCAGACCACTTCAGCATCACAGACAAACTGCTTCAGACTTCAGCCATATTAAAAATAACTTGAAAAATCAGAACTTTTGTTTTGGCAACTCCTTTATCTGAAAATATGCATTGATTTTTTTAAAAAAATGAACTCTTTGGAGGTTGTCTGTCCAAAGAAAGGGAAATCACTGTTTGAGATGCAGTAACAGTATGGGGCCCATTTGTTTCTACTTGCAAATCTATAACCTTGGGAGAATTCTCTGTTCAATTAAAAAAAAAAACACAATTGATTAAGTGTTTTGTGAGGAACAAATGAAAGCTGGTGAGGGCAAATTTAACTCAAGAAATTAAAATAAATATTAAGTGAACTTTTTAATGTTTCTGGGTGCTCACCTGAGGTCACATTTCCAAAGGTTTAGAACAGACTAAATCATATTTAAGAAGGAGTATCATGAGAGGAACAGTTGCTAAGAGCTTCCTAATCCAAACTCAAGAGGCACCTGCACAATAGCAGAATTTAAAAATAAAGCTCCCCACACTGATTCCTGGGGAGAGAGTGTATGCAGATAGAAAACATTCTCACACATAATTACCATTTACAGTGTTCTTATTGTTACTGTTAGCATGCCTAATCTTCCCAATCTTGCAAGACAGATACTATTAACCATTTTTTCAGAGTAGGAAACAGAATCCAAGAGAGATTTTGGAATTTGCTTAAATCACACGACCCTAAATTGTGCTTTCACTTTTAATCTCTCTGACTTTCTTTATCTTTTCTCTCCATGTCACTCTGGGTGATCAACAGGCTATTGATTTCCCAGAAAGAACTTCTTTCTTTAATAGAAATTAGCTCACTGGGGCCAATGTGTATTTTGGGACCCTGTCCATGTAAAATAACAACTCTGCTTTAAAGGAAATAAGAATTGTTTATTCTGGCCAAATATCCTCATATTTCCATTTGAATTCCCCTAGGACAGGCCTATTTGTGATTAAAATGTGATATGTTTTAATCTTGAAAAACCTCAAATAGCTTCACAGTTGCTACTTTTATGGAAAGCTAAAAAATCATAATCTTCTCAAACCCTTTACCTTTTCTTGTCCAAGTCAGTCCCTAAATAATCTGGTCAGAGCACTGCTTTAGTCACTAGCACAGGCAGGACCCTCAGCTTTGCATTTCAGCCCTGGAATGTTTCCTCCAAAGCAAGGATGCTGGAGGAGTTCTAGCTCAAAGAAAGGAATACCAACTTGAAACACCTTCAACTTGTTCCCTTCCCCCATTCTCTACTGCCTCATTCCTCATTTCTTGTTTAATGAGACTAAAGGCCTTTAAAAGAGGGTATGAAGGCTGATGATGGGAACTCTGCAGGCTGGGTATGAAAAGGCACATTTTTTAAGTTAGTGGTGTGAATGACATTCTACCCTAATGATAGCCACATTGAATCCTAATGGCTTGTTAGAAGTAAGTTCGTCTTCCCATTTTATTAATACTAAAGGTCCTCTTCAAAGAGAATGCATCAGTACAGTCAATGAGTGAACATTCCTGTGGTAGGGGAAAAGACTTTTAAAGATTAAGAAAGTTTTGGTGAGAAAAGTAACACTGCTTGTGAGGCCCAGAGACGGTCTGAAATTGAGGGAAAGCTCAGGACTCAGGAAATGACTGGAAGATACATCTAAAGAACTGGGAATGTCACACGCACTGGGAGGATGGACAAGGAGCAGGGGTTCTCCCTGCGACCTGAAGATGAGATTTGACTATTACTAGATGACTTCTCTCAACCACTCAAGGCCACTCCTCTTCCCACAGTAATTATGAGTATTTTACCCCTCACCCTGGGCCAGAAGCTGGAGGGCTGTGAGGGGCATGTGGTGACCTGTGTACCTCCACTCCCTTCTAGTCTTGATAATGGCACATCTGAATCTGAGTTTGGGAAGTGTACTTACGGAAGGAGGGTTAGGATTGCACAGTTTATTATTTTATTTTTATGTATTTGTCAGTTTTCTTTCTTTCTTTCTTTTTTTTCTTTCCTGAGACAGAAGTCTCAGTCTTGCCTTGAACTTGGGATCCTTCAGCCTCAGCTTCCAGAGTGCTGTGATTACAGGGCTGTGCCACTAGCTTATCTAGAATCCTATAGTTTAAATAAGCTCTTTGGGTATTTCTGCTAAAATTCCTCCCCAAGAGCTGCTGGAACCCTGAGCTAGTTTTTAATACAGCTCACTCATCCCTTTGTTCCACACTTTTCTGAGTGCCTTCTATGTGCTAGGTGCTGAGAACATAATGGTAAATAAGAGACATAACCCCTGTCTCCATGGAGTTTATAACCCAGAGGAGAAAACAGATAATAAGAACAAACAAGTAGGGACTGGAGGTGTGGCTCAGATGGCAGAGTACCTGCTTTGCATGTGTGAAGCCCCGAGTTCAAACCCCAAGTCCACCAACAAAAAACAAAAAGCAACTCAATAAAACAAATACATGAAAATGATAAGTTTTGATGAATTTTAAAGGATATTGTGGAAGCAGAAGGCGAGATCTGCACGGCAAGTTGGAGAAGGAGCCAGGCACAATGAAGACATGGGTGGAGGGAGGGAGAAGGAAGGTTAGAGTGCTTCAGGAGGGTAGAGAGTCTACAGAAGTTCAAAGGAAGGAGCACATTGACATGCTTAAGGAACTGAAGGATGACTATGGTCAGAGAATGAATGCCACATGGGAAGAGCTCCAAGTGACTCCTGTGTCATGTCCTTCAGGCTCCTTCAGGTGTGCACTGTGGCCTCGATCAGAGGTCAGGTGGAATTAACAGACACTCAGACCAAGAACATCTCCAGGGAAAGCAAGGTTGGCAGTGAGGAGGGTGGTTGTCCTGGGTATTTCTTGCCTGCTTAGTGTGTGTTTATGACTGACTTCCTTCACCTTCCTAAGCATGAGTATACTTTCGGGGTTTCTACTCTTTTGTGTTTGTCAGCACACCTGTTTCAGATTGAGAATAATTTATGTCAATGTGTCTAGCTGGTCTTCCCTGATCTCAGGAATCAGCAGAAAAGATGACATTACAAATTTAAGAGAAAGGAGAGGAGATGAATGGAGTAGGGCTTCTGTCAGGGATGAGAGGACGAAATTTGGAGCCAGGAAAAAGATTAGTTTTGGGGTAGTAGGGGAAGGCACATCATGTACACCAAGCAGTTTGTAGGTGGGTGATAGGAAGTTGGGGTAGTTGTTTTATGGCTTTGCTTTCCAAGGAAAATAGGATATAAGGTTTGTTGAGAAGGAGGTGAAGTAAATTTCCCATTTAATCATACACACATCCACAATGTCAAAGTTGGTCATAGCCAGGCCTCTACCGTGGACTGTCGGATTCACCATGATGACATGATGTGTTGCGTACTAGACACAGACAAAGATTACCTTGTAGGGCACAACAACGGAATTATCAAGGCTTATTGACAAAGTGACATTTGAGTATTTTGAAGGATATGTAGTATTCCAAAGTTAAAGGTTGAGGAAAATGTCTTTAAGACATGGCAGATGTGTGGATGAAAGGGGAAGGCGGATGCACTTAGAAATAACTTGAGTGCTGGCCAAGTCATAGAGTTAAATTGTGGGGGGAGGGAGAGAGAAAAGGGTGGCCCAGAGGTCAAGAGTGTTGAATGCCAGGATAAGGGCCAAGGCTTCCTTCTTGAGGCTGGTGTTGTGCTGGAAGAAGCTCCATCTACTAGCACATGAAAAGAGGGCAGGAGAGGGAGAGCCTGGGATGGAAAAGCCAGCCAGGAAATTATTGCAGTAATCCAGAAAACCAGTGAAGAGGGCCTACATGGATGAGGGCAGTGAAGTGGACAGAGACACTGGGGGCATGTCCAGGAAGAGACCAAGCCCGTATGATGTGTGGAGTGTTTTCTGTCCTTTACCCTAAAATGGTAAATGAACAGGGTGGGGAGCAAAGCTAGATGCATCCAGTTTTAAATTCCATATTTAGCACATCTACATCTTGAAGGTCAGTTTATTGAAATACATTTTATATATAATAAAATCCAGTGGGGCACCAGTGGCTCACACCTATAATCCTAG